TGATTAGGTCATCAGTAATGCTTACGGGGAATTTATCATAATCTGGAAGATATTTATATTAAATGTTGGATTTTTTTAAAAGCAGCATTAAAAATTGTATATGCAGTAAGATCAAAGGAAGAAAAATGGAGACATTTCTTTTCTTTGAAAGGGAAGAAACACAGCATAGAATGTTCCCATCAGAGAATTTTATTCGACCGCTTTGCATCTCATCTGGTCACATTTCCCTTCTAAGCCCTTCGAAATTCTGTTCACTAAGGAGGAAATAAAACCCGAGAAAATAGCACAATGTTGCTGATGGGACCCTCGCTCCCCTGGGACCACTGGACACATTATACTTCCGGTGTAAACAGGGTCTACATCCTTCAGAAGCACAATAGTGGGATCACGCCGCATTTCAAGTCTGGTTCTGGTAAGGAACCTACCCGGCAGGCAAACAGCTCCGGGAGAGGGAGAGGATTTGCCCTTTTCTATTGCCTGATGCCAGCAGTTTTAACCTTAAATATTACAGCGATCATAGGACTACCTCTGGGGAAAAGCAGAGGTCTCTCCCTGGGGGCAGTACAGGTGCAGCTCCAGGTGAGGCCGCCCGGTGTGGGCTGCATGGGACCCTGTATTACACGCAGACCCCAGGCCTCTTCTAAGCATTTTGGTGAGTCCCTTTTGGGGGAGAGCACAACCGCCTTGAACAGGGAGTGAGAGATAAGGCAGATAGGAAGCGGACTTTCTAAATCCTTTGTCACCAGCATGAGCTACAAATTTGGGACATAATTTAAGAAGAGTGAGAGGAAGAGATGCAGCCGTTGTTGGTGTCCAGGGGCTGTGCCCACCTTCCCTGCAGTGGCCTTGCACCCGGGCTGGTCCCTAGCTGCTGTCCTCAGGAGTTGCCATTGGGTGGAAATCACCATTTCACATGCAAATTGGTATCTCATACTGTGTGTTTCTCCCAGGAGGCTTAAAGTACAGTGGCTTTTTTTAGAGCGGGGGAAGCAGGTTGAGTTCCAAAAGCATTCAGACATTCAAACTTAAAAAAAAGTACTAGAAGCAATTTTGAGACGTTTAGTAGGAAAGTATTCCTTATAATAAACGAGGGCACTGACCGTGTTGTCTTGGATGCAATGTGTAAAATCTGTGCAGGTGAAGCTCAAGTTTACCAATCAGTTGTGAGCTAAGAAGAACTGAGCTCAGGACACTTACACCCTGCGGAAACTGTTTTTAGACCCAAAGCCCCACTTCCCAATGTCAGTCACCACAAGTCTGTGCAATAGGTAGGAGATGAGCATAGAGTTTTTGCATTTTTTGCATTCAAGCATAGAAGGACACAGTGACTTGCCAACACCACACAGAGTCAGCAGCGTGTCTGCAACACCGCTTTCCACCACCTTCTGCATCACCGGTCCACCACAGCATCTTTTCCCAGCTATGAATGTGTCGTAGTCATTTAGTGATTGAACCTGTGTGGGAATTGGGTAAAGGAGGCTCTGCTCACTCATTTTGATGAACTGCTCTGCAACACAAAATAGCTGAAGGAAATCCTGGTAAACAGCAGTGACACTTGCTGAAGCTGCGTTCAAGTTTGTAGTGCGGAATCTTAACTAACCATCGTGACTGCTCAGCGCCCCCCGGGTAGTTGTCGTGGCCGCGAGGTGGGGAGCCGGCCATCCTCAGGAGTAAGAATCTCTGAGCTCACAGCCCGGAGCCTCTGCTTCCTGCTTTCGGGCCCTGAGGGTGAGGAGCTCGCGGTAGGGGCGTCTGAAGGTGGGGTTCGAGAAGCACACCACGGGGTTCAGCGCGCCCTGCAGGTAGGTGAGGCTGCCGGTCACGTCGGCGGCGTGGACCATGGAGCTCAGGACCCCGCAGCTGAGCGCCCCTCGGAAGGTGGCCAGTAGGATGTGGACCAGGAAGCTGGGCAGAAAGCACAGCGTGAACAGCACCCCAACCATGGCCACCAGCGCCTGGGCCCTCTGCAGCTTGGGCTGCTTGTGTGGGTCTCGGAGCCGCTTCCGGAGAGTCCTGATGAGGCCGGCGCTGCAGAACAGGATGAGGCCGAAGGCAAGGATAAACTGGAGGAAGGAGAGGGCTTCCTGCCAGATGAGCCTGAAGGAGGACTCCGTCCTGGGCTCAGAACTGGGGCACTCGGCCTCAGAGAGGAACACGCTTTGGTGGGTGAGGGCTGCCGTCATGAGCCAGACCAGGACCGAGATGCCCCAGGCCGCCCGCAGGGACAGAAGGTTGACCTTGAGCCGCGAGTGGACCACCCGGAGGTAGCGGTCCAGGGCCATGGCGGTGAGGAAGGCGACACCCGCCCCGCGGCACAGGGACCGCAGGAAGAGCATCCCTTGGCAAGACGCACGCCCCAGGCCCCAGGTCTTGTGCCGCAGGTAGAAGGCGGCGTGAAAGGGCAGGCAGGCAGCCAGCAGGAGGTCTGCTAGGACCAGGTTGAGCAAGTAGACAGCGTAGGGCTTCCACACCTTCAGACGGAAGGAGGTCCAGAGCGCCACGGCGTTGCCCAGCGTGCCCAGGCCACACTCCAGCAGCAGCAGTAAGGCCGTGGTCACCTCCGCCGCGTAGCTGTGCGCCACCGAGCAGTTGGGTGGCAGCATGTGGCCGAGTCCCCGCCACGGCTGAGCCTGACGCAGCGGAGCGCAGGGACGCAGGCCCGAGGTCGTGCTCTTTCCCACAGAAGGACAGAAAGCACACTGACCAGCATCCGAATAAAGTCAAAGGCAAACTAAAATTTGTCTGTGGAAAGAGGATCGGGGCAGAGGGAAAAAACCTCTTGGAGTTTTGTTTTGCCCTGAAAGCGGGGAAATTGTGTTTCACTTCCCACATCTGGCATTAAACTGAAGCCCTAGTGTCCTGAGAGTCTCCGCGTGAGCACAGCTCTCCATCCACAGCTGTCACTGAAGGGGCTTGGGAAGTTTGGGAAGACTTGCTGTCTATAAAGTTAAAATAATGATGGGAACAAATAGATGGTTCTCTAGTTTGCGTTGTTTTCCCGTAGATCTGGTCTCGCGTTCCCCTCGAAGAGGGTATGGGGGGGGGGGGCCTGGCCATTTTGTAGTTGCCCATTTTCACCTGTCCTTTCGTTTTGTTAGATTTGATTTTCTGCTGAGGAGGCTTCCCTGACCAGGGATGGAGCCCGTGCCCCCTGCATTGGAAGCTCGGAGTCCTAACCGCTGGACTCCCAGGGAAGTCCCTGCTCAGCCTGGTTTGGGCTTTGGAATCAAATGGACTCTGGTTCTACCTGGTCTCTCCACTTAGCAGCAATGTGGGGTGAACATGACAATAGCTGCCCGCGGCGTCCTTGTATTTGAGGTACTCTTACAGGTACAGCACTGTGCACTGTATCTGGGGCATCTCGGGTGCCAGATACATTTGCTGCAAGTCATTGTTAACCTCTGTCTGATGCTTAGACTTTTAACAAAACGATGCCTAGACTTTTTTTTTTTTTTTTTTTTTTTTTT